CACACACACATACACACATACACACACACACACACACACACTCAGAGAAATAGAAACCATGTTAGCCGAGGCTTCATAGCTCAGGGGTTAGAGCACTGGTCTCATAGAAACCATGTTAAGTGATGGATATGTTAATTAGCTTGATGATGGTAATTTTTTTCAGGTTTCTCTGCTTTATTTATTTTTAATATAGTTTTTATTGTTTAAAGTATTACAAATAGCTCCCTTTTACCCCCTTTTAATCTCCCCATTCTTTATCTCACCCCCATTCTCTTTCCACCCCCAAGTTCATTATTTCTCAAAACATCACATTGAACACCTTAAATATATATATAATTTTTATTTGTTGATTGTACTTCAGTAAGGCTGGAAAAATTATGAAAGTCACTAATGGCATAAACACACAGAATGCGTAAAAATGTCACCAGTGAGTAAACACAGGTAGGAAGGGAAGAAGGGAAGGGAGTGAGACTGAAGATGCATAGCGAGGTCTTAAAGCAGTGACTTGATCGTGCTGTTTTAGGTAATGCCTCAAGAACAATAACTACCTCTGCCTTCTAGAAGAGCCCAGAAAAATAGATGTCAGGATCTACACTTTTGGCTCATACATTTATTATAGAGTTGGAATTAGTTGTACCTTCCATTCATTAAGACTGAATTTAGCCTGGTGTGGCTCAGTGGTTGAATGTCAACCCATGAACCAAGAGGTCACTGGTTTGATTCCCTGTCAGGGCATTTTTTGGCTGGGTGATGGGTTCTATCTCCAGTAGCGGGCTTGTAGGAGGCAACTGATGGATGTTTCTCTCCCATCCATGTTTCTCTCTCCCTCCCTGCCCCCCAGCCCACTCTTTATATCTCTCAAAAAAAAAAAAAAAGGCTGGGCTTAAGCCTGAATTTAACCAAGTTTACTGTGTTAGAAATTCTTTTAAAGATAAGAAGTATCAATGTGAGAAAGGAAAATTAACTAGATAAAATGATAGAATCATGTATTAATAAATCTCGTGGCAGAATGTATTCAATTAAGCTACATGGTTTTATTTGCTAGGCTTCCTAATCCAGGGGAAAGATGGGTACTAACTAATAATATACCTACGACAGGTATGTAGGGAGTGGTCGGTATATATTTATTGCGTGGATGAATGCCTGAACATGTGAAAAGTACACAGAAGTTTGAAAACCCATCAATCTTACAGTGGAAGCCAGTTGCAGAATATTAGAGAAAAATAATTCTTTCATTTCATAATGTCCATTAACATATCGGAAAACAGAAGAGATAATTAAATGCAAATACACTGTGGATTCATTTCCAGAAAGAGGTTCATGGATAATGCATTCTTAATGCAGATCATAAATTTGCTTCAGAGGAATGTTAGATTTGGAGTTGAGATAAGGCATGAATTCAAATTAGCTTTTGAAATTCCACTCTGTGTTCATTTGCTATAAGTCCTTTTGCCACAGTCTCCCCAATTCTGTCACTTATTTTTCTTAAATCCTAATCAAACTTCTCTTCCAATAATTGTTGATTTATATGCAATAGTTAGTCCTCAAGTCTTCCTCCTTTGCCAGTGTTGATAGAGTTCAGCATGCCCGACCTATCTTGCATTTGTCTTGCAATATCTGATGTTCTTGAGGTTAAGAAGAGTCTTAACATTTATTTAAGTTCCTCCAGAATTTTTTAAAGTCACAGCTTCAGTTCTTCCCAGAGGAACAATAATTATAATAGAGAGATATCTTAGTGATCTTTTTTCTCCTTAAGAAGCTACATATATCCAAACATGTATTTTTTTGTGTTGACCATGTTTCAAGTTTATTGGCAGAAAGGTTGCATTGCTATGCTGCATTGGGGTGACTCTCTCCCTTAACGTGGTGATTGACCCAGAATTTGTCTCCTGGCCATATAGATGAATATGAACACCAATACTCACCCTTGTTTTTCCTGAAGTCCTCATTTTGGTCACGACAACGTAATGCTGATCATGTGGCCCTTGAAGATGAAATATATTCTGATCCTTCATCTAATGACTCTTTTGAACCAGTGTCTCCAGAATTCCATGGGAAAGAAGCCATCAGGTAACAAGGATGCAGATGGAGAACAGGCCAAAGAATGAGGAGCTAGTAGTTCACACCTGAAAGAAGCCAAGTTCTCTCTAGTGCCCTATCGGTGGCTCCCATCGAACCTCCTCCATGCTACATTCATCACTTCCCACTTCAAGCTGAAAAAAAATTCCTTTACCTTTTTTTGTCTTATATTATTGACATTTACATTAAATACAAACTGAGATTTCACCCACAAAGATAATTTGACAAAACACTCATCTGGATTCTTAATCTTCTATCTGTTGTCTTCTCCGACCTGAGCCTCAACCTCACTCTTTTCTTTGCCTGGACTCATTTATTCACACATGGCTCCCATCTTGTTTATTATATTCCCTATTTTTCTCTCACAATTTTTTAAACTTCTCTTTTCTATGTATTGCCCTTTCAAAGAAGATGAAAGAGTAGGGAAGAGGAAGGAAGAGAAGACCTAGAGATAGTCACAAAGGGAATTGAGGGAGAAGTGCCTTTTAGAATGTGCTTTGTTCCGTGCTAGGAACTTTTATTTTCAAATAAAAACTTAGGAAGAAATTTCTCAACATCCCTGACTATTCAAATTTTATTCATCTATCTGTGTCCAGCATATATGTCAGTCTTCTATGACCTGTCTCATATTATTCCAGACTACTGAGCTTCTAGAACCATTTAATTTTTTATTTTAATCTGTCCCATATTTATCTTCCATACTATATTTTTCATGTGACCCAAACTAGGTTTAACCTCCAGCAGATCAACTGGGAGCAAAACAATGACTTTAGTTGATGTGTTTATATGTTTATTTTAATTTTTCTATCTCTTTAGCAGCTCACTCAACTATAAGAACTATGTAGAATGATGGTAAAATGGGATTAAAACAGAAATGAGAAAATCTAAACAGTTCAATATGAATGGAACCTGGATTGTTTGATGAATAGATGACAAAATAAGAAATGTAAATTTGATTCAGTTTATGGATATGTACCTGATAAAATAAAATAGTTAAAATGCCTAGGATTTCAGATCTATTATAGCACCCAGCATGCTAATTCCATTCCTTTCTATTACCATAATCATCATCATAAACCAATATCATCTGATGTTTACTGAATACTTATCAAGAACCAAGCACTATGCACGCAAGATGAAATACTTTACTCATCCTTCCACACAGCCCTAAAGCACTCCAAATTATTAGGTTATAAAAGCCAAAATTTACCCAGAATATGTACATTGGCTAAGGTAACAGAGCTACTAAATGTTCTAGCTGGGGTGAGCTCAGGTGGGTAGGACTGTAAAACCCACTGCTCTCACTGTTATGATCTTTGCCTCTCTCCCTTACTCCACCCTGACCTTGACTCAAATTAACCAAAGGTATCTCCAGCCTGAGTCAGTAGTTCACAATGAGCCCTTCAGGAATGGATGCCTGTGTTACCTCTTGGTCTAGCTTCTTTGGCTTTGCAGTTTAGAAATGATCCTGGTTTTCAATAGTAATGTAAGGTTCCACCTCAGTCGTTGGAATAATATTATCTGGTGATGTGTTCCAAGCATAGGGAAATTTTAAAACTTGGCAGGTGTCCCAGCCGGTGTGGCTCTGTGGTTGAATGCTGATCTATGAACCAGAAGGTCATGGCTCTATTCCCAGTCAGGGTACATGCCCGAGTTGTGGCCTCAGTCTCCAGTGTGGGGGGTACAAGAGGCAGATAATCAATGATTCTCTCTCATCATTGATGTTTCTATCTTTCACTCCCTCTCCCTTCTTCTCTGAAATCAATAAAATATATTTTTAAAAAACTTTGCAGGTGAAGCTAGTGCGCAGCCAAGGCTGGGGGGAAATACCTTTGTTGATTCTCACAAGCATGATTGCCAGAGAGTAAATTCCCAGCTTTTCTATGTACTGAAGGGGGCAGATTCAGAAATCATATCAACCAAACCTAGGATTACCAACTGAAGAAAATTGTCATAACTTGAAACCTCTTTTTCTTTTTTTGTTTTTAGAATCAGAAATGTTACAAAAGAATATAAAGGAAAGCCTGATAAAATAGAAGCTTTGAAAGGTACCATTTAGTTATTATATTGATACTAGAGGCCCGGTGCACAAAATTTGTGCACTCGGGGGTCCCTCAGCCCATCCTGCACCCTCAGTCGGACATCCTTAGCGCTGCTGCGGACGCTGAAGAGGCTCCCACCACCGCCCTGAGCTTGCCAGCCTTGAGCCTGGCTTGTGGCTGAGCAGTGCTCCCCCTGTGGGAGTGCATTGATCACCAGGGGCAGCTCCTGCATTGAGAGTCTACCCCCTGGTGGTCAGTGTGCGTCAATGCAAACAGTTGTTCTGCCATTCAGTCTATTTGCATATTAGCCTTTTATTATATAGGAATAATTTTCTGATTTTCACTCTTGTTTTTGCTCTTGGTGAACAATTACTGGTGGTATTTCAGATTTGAAATTAGTTATTTAGTCATATGATAAAATTTCCTTTCTAACAATTATTTCTACTATGTAAAAGAAAAAATTGATTGTGTTTTCAAATTATATATGTCTTTGAGAGATATATAGTCTCATACTGAGGTAGCCTAAAGCTATTCTGGGTTGTTTTCTACAAACTCAAATTTTTCTTCGGTAATTCTAAAGCTATTGTAGATATTGCTATTTTTATGTGCAAAAATGTCATATACATGAAAGGATTTTTATCCATATAACAATTTACTGAACTATTAATCTATCATTTATTGCCTAAATTAACATTTAGTCTATAAATATTAACATTCACCTGCCATATAGCAGGCAATATCAATGAACTTAAGCATATAAGATGTTTCTTGGTTTTAAAACAAATAATTTCAAATTTTCAAAACAGAATGCACATATAAATTTATAAAAGCATATTTTTTTTTACTTTGAGTTTAACAACCTAATATATTCATATATAGAAAACATGGCCATTCAAGGAAATAAAAAGACAAATTTTAGCTCCACAATAAATTTGTAGTTTTTTTCCTACCTCCCTACCTGTTTTCCTTCCTTCCTTTCTCCCAGCCTTCTTTCCTTTTCTTTTTTCTTCCTAGATCTGGCATTTGACATATATGAAGGCCAAATCACTGCAATACTTGGTCACAGTGGAGCTGGAAAATCAACACTATTGAACATTCTTAGTGGGTTATCTGTTCCCACCAAAGGTAAGAGGGTTCTTCTCCCCCAAAGTCAGGCTGACAAATAAATCAGCTGTTAATAAAAAGTTCTTGTGATCATTAATCACAAACACAGATTACCAGAAATAAACGGAAGTTAATTTATAGTATTCTATAGAGGTATGCAATATTTAATGGAATTTGATTATTTCATGATTTATTTTCTGGTCCTTTGGCATTCCAACTTGTATCTGTTAGCTTTTGCTGCGCAACAAGCATTCCCAAAGCCAATAGCTTAAAATAAAAATGTTTGCTTATTTCTCATTACTCTGTGGGTTGGCTGGTGGTTTTTCTGTCTGGATTAAAATAAGTGGGGCTGAACACTTTAGCATAGCCTTACTTACACATGTGGGGCTCTAGTTAAGACCACAGCACCTCTCTTTCTACATCTCCCAGGAATCTAGTTAGGGATTCTTCATCCAGTGATGCCCATGACTCCAGAAGCAAAGAGGGGGCAACCCCAGGGTGGGGGCACTTCGCAATCCCTGCTTATATCACATCTGCTAAAACTCCATTTATCATAGAACCACACCTAACTATGAGGGGAGAATAAGTAGACTACATCTTAATGGAAAAACTGCAGAAAGGACCTTTCTCCCACCCCATACACCACACAACTAAAATGGAAGTTCATAATGCCTGAGTTGTATAAACCTTGAAGATAAAACCATATTATCTAGAATGCAATAAATAACTCTATAGTGGCTTTTCATTTAGAAAAATATCTTAAGTATAATCTGATGTTAACTTTTAATCTTTGTTATAGGTTCTGTCACCGTGTATAGTAATAAACTTTCAGAAATGGCTGACCTAGAAAATATCAGCAAGCTCACTGGAGTTTGCCCACAGTACAATGTGCAATTTGACTACCTCACTGTAAGAGAAAATCTCAGACTCTTTGCTAAAATAAAAGGGATTCCACCACAGGAAGTGGAACAAGAGGTACATAAATATATCAGAACTAATGTATTGGTCAAAATGAGAGGGTTAAGTCTATTTGCACTGAGTTCTTATGCTTTCAGTGCAAAGTCATATGAAAGTTAAACAAAAAAATCTAATTTAGGTATTTATCTGAGTTAAATGGTTATCTAACATTTATGTATAATTTATATGCCAACCATTATCCTTAACTTTAAATATATTAATTCATTTATTTCCCATAACAACTCTATAAGATAGGTGCTATTATTACTCCCATTTTACATATGTGGAAACTGAGGTTTAAGAGAGCAAGTAACTTGACCATGACTATGTAGCTAGTTAATGTGGAGTGGTATTCAAATCTAGTCAATCTGTCTCAGAATGCATGCTTTCCTGCCTTGTATTTATCAATGTAAAAATAAAAACAGAAAGGAATCTTGTACGTGACACAAATGTTGTCATTTGGTTAGATACAAAGAGTTGTGCTGGAGTTGCAAATGGACAGTATTGAAGACGTCCTTGCTCAAAACTTAAGTGGTGGACAGAAAAGAAAACTCACTTTTGGGATTGCCATTTTAGGAGATCCTCAGGTAAATAAGATGAAATTTAGAGATGGATTAAATTTTTTAAATTAAAACTTTCCATAGTAGTTCCTACCTTTTATTTGCAAAGGACACCTGTGATAAAATATTTATGATGGGACATATATAAGAACAAAGTCCTAACCACAATGATCTTTGAAATATAAATGACATGGTTTCAACGTGTTTTCTGGGAGAACTATATACTTTATTGGAAAGATCCTTTTATATACACCCCTCCACTGTAGATTTTCCTATTGGATGAACCAACTGCTGGGTTGGATCCCTTTTCAAGGCATCAAGTGTGGAACTTGCTGAAGGAGCGGAAAATGGACCGTGTGATCGTGTTCAGTACCCAGTTCATGGATGAGGCTGATATCCTGGCTGGTAAGTACTGGATACTGGTTTCCTTTAAGTATCATGATGAAAACTTCATGAGATTTGAGAAATATGGATTATATGCTCAGCAGCTGTATTGTGTAACCTGGTCTCCCAGCTGTAACCAGCCATTGGAACAGCTGGCAATGATATGAACTGGCCCAAGAATCTTACTCCCAACCACTTCTATGTATGTCCTAGGATTTTGTATCCTTTGATTACATGGAGGTACAATCTGCCAGGAAACTCACTTATTTTGAAGGAAGAGTCTATATTCAAAGGCATAGCTAGTTAATGTGGAGTGGTATTCAAATCTAGTCAATCTGTCTCAGAATGCATGCTTTCCTGCCTTGTATTTATCAATGTAAAAATAAAAACAGAAAGGAATCTTGTACGTGACACAAATGTTGTCATTTGGTTAGATACAAAGAGTTGTGCTGGAGTTGCAAATGGACAGTATTGAAGACGTCCTTGCTCAAAACTTAAGTGGTGGACAGAAAAGAAAACTCACTTTTGGGATTGCCATTTTAGGAGATCCTCAGGTAAATAAGATGAAATTTAGAGATGGATTAAATTTTTTAAATTAAAACTTTCCATAGTAGTTCCTACCTTTTATTTGCAAAGGACACCTGTGATAAAATATTTATGATGGGACATATATAAGAACAAAGTCCTAACCACAATGATCTTTGAAATATAAATGACATGGTTTCAACGTGTTTTCTGGGAGAACTATATACTTTATTGGAAAGATCCTTTTATATACACCCCTCCACTGTAGATTTTCCTATTGGATGAACCAACTGCTGGGTTGGATCCCTTTTCAAGGCATCAAGTGTGGAACTTGCTGAAGGAGCGGAAAATGGACCGTGTGATCGTGTTCAGTACCCAGTTCATGGATGAGGCTGATATCCTGGCTGGTAAGTACTGGATACTGGTTTCCTTTAAGTATCATGATGAAAACTTCATGAGATTTGAGAAATATGGATTATATGCTCAGCAGCTGTATTGTGTAACCTGGTCACCCAGCTCTATCCAGCCATTGGAACAGCTGGTAATGATATGAACTGGCCCAAGAGTCTTACTCCCAACCACTTCTATGTATGTCCTAGGATTTTGTATCCTTTGATTACATGGAGGTACAATCTGCCAGGAAACTCACTTATTTTGAAGGAAGAGTCTATATTCAAAGGCATCGGTCCTTTTACTCAAAATTGAAGGAAATCAACTTAAAATATTCAAACAATTTTGATGTTTGGTCCATTAAAATGTATAATGTGATGATTCTCTATATTCAAAGATTTATCTGCATAACCTCTCTGACTGGCTGGAAGGGAAAACAACAGTCTAAAGTATATAAATAAGATTAAAATGTGTCTATTTCAATGAGTTTTTATGAAGTGCTGTATGTGAAAATACAGAAGCTCCTGAATTAGAGTTGGATCACGCAGACAATGACCTATCTTTTGGGGGGAAAGAACAGAGTCAACTTCCTAACAAACTTTCTTCTTTGCTTTCAGACAGGAAAGTGTTTCTCTCCAAAGGGAAGCTGAAGTGTGCAGGCTCAAGTCTGTTTCTAAAGAAGAAATGGGGGATTGGGTATCACTTAAGGTATGGCCACTTGAGGAGGCTGGAGAATGAGAAATGGGCTAAAGCAAGACATGATGCTCAGAGCAACGCATCACAGCACAGAAGGAAACTTTTGATTATTATATACAGATGTTGATGTATACACATATACACAAATAAAAATAAGGAGATGTTAAGGCAAAATTATAGAGAGATTAAAGATAGAGATATACAGATACGGATATATGGAGTATATAGTATGAGTATATGAGTTATTGATTGGCAGGATTTTAGAGATTGAGAATATAAGATAAATGGGAGATAATGTGGGTATAAGGACACATGTAATAACTTAATCAATAAAAAAATTTTAAAAAAAGAATATGAATATAAGACAACAAAAAAGTTTAGATATATGTGATAGAAAATATATCCACAACACATTATTTGGTAAGAAAGGTATGTATTAAGGGAACTTTCTCAACTGACATTGTATTTCACAACCTCATCATCTCTCACCCAGGGTTTTAACAGTCTCTTAAGCAGACTCCTTGTTTCTTCTCTTTACCCTGGCTCCTCCTCTTCCCTCTTGTTCTTTCTCTCCTGTCCATCCTCTTCATTTTATTTTTATTACTATTTTTAGATAGTAACATATTCTGTTATTTATTGATTGATTCAAAGATAAGATGCTTAACATTATTGTAGTTCAATCTTTTACTTTAAGAGGTCGGCACTATATATAATCTGATTTTTTTTTACCTCTTATTTCATGTTTGGATGACCTATTTCTTGCATTAGATTTTATTTGATTTTTCTTTGTCTCCTAGAGACAAGTAATTTTCTTCATGCAATTGGAGACAATGTTAGATAACACAGATCTATTTTTTTATCACCAGTTTGCAGTTGAATGAAATGTGTGTTCAAGAAAAAATAACATCCATTGTTACAAAGCACATCCCTGATGCCAAATTATCAGCAAAAAGTGAAGGAAAACTTGTCTATACATTGCCCTTGGAAAGAACAAATAAATTTCCAGGTAATGTACAAGAATATCAAGAAATGAAATACATAAGTGTTATTCATAAAAATAATATCAATGATCATTACTGTAACTAACATTAAGAGCATACAATGTGTTCAGGTATTTAAAACATGAGGTAACAATAACTAGACTTTCATCTACAGTGGGAAATATTATATTCTAATTGATGCACTATACTTATTTTGATTTGCTATTGTGTATGTGTTTTTTAGAACTTTATGAGAATCTTGATCTCTGTCCTGACCTGGGAATTGAGAATTATGGTGTTTCCATGACAACCTTGAATGAGGTGTTCCTGAAACTAGAAGGAAAAGCAACTATTGATGAACCAGGTAAATAAAATGCATGAAAATGATCATGTAAGGGTATTCATAACACCTGGTTTAGTATATTGTTCAAGAAGACACCATTCCAGGCCCTGGCTGAGTATCTCAGTTGCTTAGATCATCATCTCAATACACCAAGATTGCAGGATGGATCCCTAGTCAGGGCACATACAAAAATCAACCAATGAATGCATAAATAAGTGGAACAACCCCTCTCTCTCTCTCTCTCTCTCTCTCTCTCTCTCTCTCGTTCCTCTTCTCTCTAAAAATCAATAAATAAAAAACTAAAAAAAAAGAAGACACCATTCCAAGAACATCATTCAGTAACATGATTACAACATGTGGGGTTTCATGATTAAGGCCATTCTTGGACAAGAATATATTAAGGTGAAGTGTATCCCTGTCATTTTTGTTACCTCCATTGCCAATTTTGCCTTGACATTAAAAACAGCCCATTTTCTTCTACCTAAGGCTCATAGCCCTCATTGTATCCCATTTTCTAAGAGCAATTTCAGATGAAACACTTATTCTAAATCTCTCTCCAAGCACTTTGAATGTGTCATCACGCTGCCTGTTGGTCTCCATGGTTTCTGATGAGAAGTCAGCTCTAGATCTTATTCAGGATTTCTTTGTATGATGAGTTGT